CTGGGCACAGAGGCCTTTCTGTGTCCCCTACTGCTAGCTTGTAGGTAATAGGCTTCAGCTTCCATGACCTTCCCTGAGTTTCAAAGAGTAGGTTCAGTTGCTAATCAGGGAAGGGAGGGGAGGAGGAGACAAGGGAGGAACAGTCAAGAATCAGTACTGCAGCCTTGGGAGTCTTGGTTCTGCCTCAGAGAATACATGACAATATCTTTAAACTCTTCTATAGAACTAAACCCTAAATGGGTTGATGAAGCATTCTTCATTCCAAGGAAGGTCACAGTTTGAGCATCCTGAGAACCACAGAAACTCATCAGGAGACCACCTGAGGCCAGATTAAAGGAGTGCTTACCCCGCGCACACACACTGAACCTTATCAGGAACCCCACCTTTGAAGCATTGCTATAAAACTCTTCACCAAATACTCCCACCCCCCACCCCAGTGGGACACACAGGTTTTGAGGGCACAAGTCTACTGTGCCCCTCTTTGCCTGAGGAATCTATAAAGCTATTATTTACCATTTCACCCCAAAATCTGTCTCTCAGATTTGATTTGCACAGAAGCTAAGTTTTCAGCATCAGAGGGAACCACACTGGAACTTGGGTCAGTGAGGCAGACAAATCCGCTGGCCCCACATAGTGGCAAGGGTACAGAGTGGCACCAGACAATTTTAATACCCTGACAGACGTGTCACTGGCAGGTGTAGTGGAGGAAATAGATCTGTGCCTCCCCCCTTCCAAGTTCTCGACTGGGACCCCTGTAACAAAAGACAGATCAACAAGAGAAAAGCATACAAATTTATTTGACACAACTTTTATGGGACACAGAAGTTTTCATAAGGTAATGAGGACCCAAAGAAACAATTAAACCTGCAAACTTTTATGCTAGGTTTGATGAAGAGTGGAATGCTGGGGAAAGATGTGATGGGACAGAGGTTATGAGGTAAGGGGAGTAAACTGGCCAAAGCTTAGCAAGGCTTGCTCATGCAGGTTCATCTCTGTGTCCTTTCATCTTTGGAAGATAAGGATGCTCTTTCCTCTGGGTATAGAGAGGGCAGGTCTCATGTGAGGGTTTTATGACCTGTTTCAGGGGAAGGTCAGAAAGTTTTTCCATTACATACTGTTTCTCAAATTCCATTAGCTTAACATACTCCTCATGCCAAGCTGCCATATTTTGGGGTAGCCCCAGGCACAGCATGAATATTGAATGAATAAATGAAAAAACACGCCTGCAATGTGGGAGATCTGGGTTCAATCCCTGGGTTGGGGAGATCCCCTGGAGGAGAGGATGGCAACCCACTCTAGCATTCTTGCCTGGAGAATCCCCATGGACAGAGGAGCCTGGTGGGCTACAGTCTGTGGGGTCGCAAAGAGTCAGACGTGACTGAGCAACTAAGCACAACAGAGATGCTGAGAAGGGGATGGGAGAGGAAGGAGCAGCCCCTGTCCTGGGTGTGCATCCTCTTGACATTGCCAGTTGGCTTGACTCTGTCTTGACCCTGCCTCCGTCGGTCCCTCCCTGGGTCACCTCTCACCTCCTCGCTGGCCGCATGGCGCACGGCCAGCTGCACACGTTCCAGAAACACAGCGTGACTCCGTGTTACGATTGCACATTACAGCCCGGGCCTCTCCTCCAGCATCCAACCTACCTTACCTGTTCCTCTCTCCCGCTGCTGCAGCTGCTGACTACCTGACTTTCCCGAAGCCTCCGCCTTCACCTGAGGTGGGGAGTGGACTAGAAAAGTGTACTAAGCCCTCTGGAACCTGGTTTTTGTAGCCTCCATTGTTCAGGTGTCTTCAGTGGGCGAGGGACACGTTCAATAAGAAGTCAGTCACCATGATACACACAGACCCAGGTGTCCATGAAAAGACATTTTCAATGCCATCTTTATTTTAACACAAGAGCAACAGAGTGAACAGACAAGGAGATATATTTCAGTGAATGCGTACAGCTTTAAATGTGACTCTAAAATTATTTGACAGTCTGGTCTCACCCCTTGAATCTGGGCCCTGGGACTCTTGGACCAATAGAATATGGCAGCGTTCACAGCACATTTGTGCCAGCTGCTGGGTCCAGGCCTTTGCCTTCCTGTTGTTTGGAACCCAGCCACTGTGCTTTGAGGCAGCCAAGCAGCTCACAGGCCACAGGTAGGTGTTCTGGCCGACAGCCTCACATGAGGCCCCAGTAGACGGCCAGTATCAACCACAGGTGTGAGTGAGTGTGTCCTTACCTGGTGTGGGCTCCCAGGTTTGTGAGCTGTCCTAGCTGATAACTGTGGGAGCAGTTAAATATAAAGTCATTGAGCCTTGCCCAGACTGCCTGAACTAAATAAACCTCTGTTGTTTTCAGTCACTAAATGTGGGGATAGCTTATTTACTTTATTCATTCATTCATTCATTTCTTTCCATGCTGCATAACTTGAGGGATCTTAGTTCTCTTAACAGGGATGGAACCTGGCCCCCAGCAGTGAAAGCGCCAAGTCCTAACCACTGGACTACCAGGGATTTCCCTGGGGATGGTTTATTGCAACTGCAATATATTACTAATTCAGAAAGCAATCAACAAGTACCAAAGAGATGAAAGAGTGAGAAAGTATAAATGGCTAGAATGTTTCTTCTTTTTTCCACCCCCCTCCTTTATAAATGGGAAGGGAGAAAGAATAATGAAGCCTTTTGAAGAGGGGATAGGACAAGAAGGAAAGATAACAAAGTGCTAAATGATACCTTTCAAAATAGACACAATTAAAAAGGGTTAGGAGAAGTCATTGAACTTATTTAAGAAGAAACACCTGCTACCCCACGCCCCTGTGTTCAGAGATGTTACATATTTTTTCTATTGCAAGAAAATTTAAATAATTATAAGCAAGGCACAAAGAAAAATATTGTAAATTTAGAGTAACAATTGTAGAATAAAGCCAAATTATAAATTCTCTCTCTGGAATTTTTTTCCCACACTACCAGTCGATTTTCTGGTTCTCTGCGTGCCAACTTAAGGAGAAAAACCCAAAACAGTTTTTCTTTACTATTCATACAAAAATTTCTAATACTGGATGTATGGATTTTCCCGTGTCTGGTGTTTTCACTGTAAGCATGTTTGTCACACGCTGCCTAGTGTAGCCAAAACTAAATTAAATAAATGAAATTTTAAAAAATTCATTCAATTTGGGGCTTAACTGTAATACACCCATGGTCTTTCTCCCCCATCATCTCTTAATTAGCAAGTGGATAACCAAAGCCTTAAAATTAATTATAAGAAAAAGTTACAGCAGAGATAAAGTTTTCAATGAACTATAACAACCTGAATAAGACGGAATGACACTTCTGACCACTTCAGCGCCATTTCTAAGAGCATCAATTCATCCATTTATTCCGAAAGCATTTACTTCCACCAGTTGACTGTTGGATGCTGGGACTACAAAGATGAATGAGACACAGAGCCTGACCTTACATAAGGTACTGTTTGGCATATAGAATCAGCTTCAAAAACAATCTAATACCTATCATGTCAGAGGAGAGAGAAGAAAAAGAGTTGGCCTGCTCAGAGGAGCTGCAGAATGCTCTCAAGGAGGTGATTTTGGAAGGATCTGAAGGATGACTTGCTCACAGGAGGATGGACTGCAGGGAGTGGGAGGAGCCCAGCAAAGGCACAAATGTGGGGGACTTGTTCTTCCATACTGCTGGTGTGAAGGACATGTTCTCACTCAAAGCATTGAACAAGTATTTGAATGCTAGGCTTGAGCGCTGCTGCTGCTGCTAAGTCACTTCAGTCGTGTCCAACTCTGTGCCACCCCATAGACGGCAGCCCACCAGGCTCCCCCATCCCTGGGATTCTCCAGGCAAGACTGGAGTGGGTTGCCATTTCCTTCTCCAATGCATGAAAGTGAAAAGTGAAAGTGAAGTCGCTCAGTCGTGTCCGACTCTTAGCGACCGCATGGACTGCAGCCCACCAGGCTCCTCCGTCCATGGGATTTTCCAGGCAAAAGTACTGGAGTGGGTTGACATCGCCTTCTCCGAGGCTTGAGCGCTAGAAGTCATTAACCAAAGACTAGGGCACACTTAGGGAGGATGCACCACGTTAAGTTTGAAGGAACTGGCACAGGTGAAAAAGAGGGGAAGAAGCATAGGAAAGAGTTCTAGGAGGAAAACGTGGCGGTAAATGATGTCCTTCCATGGGACACCTAGCATGGATCAGGCCCTGCTTAAAGGGCTTTGTGCATACTATGACATTTAAATACACACTATAGGGCTTCCCTGGTGGTCCAGTGGTTGAGAATTCGCTTGGCAGTGCAGAGGACACTGGTTCCATCCCTGGTCTGGAAAGATCCCATATGTTGCAGAGCAAGTAAGCCCATGTGCCACAACTACTGAGCCTGTGCTCTAGAGCCCGGCATTGCAGCTACTGAGCCCACCCGCCCCAGGGCCCGAGCTCAGCAGCAGCAGAAGCCACCACAGTGAGAGGCCTGCACACAGCAACTAGAGAGAAGCTCCCACTCACCGCAACTGGAGAAAAGCACAAGCAGCAAGGAAGACCCAGCACAGCCAAAATAAATAAATCTTAAAAAAAAAAAAATACATGTTGTTGTCTCCTGGGCAACAAAAGAATAAAACTCATCAGGTAAATAACATCCCCATGGTCTTCTACTTGGTAAGTGGATAACCTTGGCCTGGTTATCTAGTTAGAATGCGCTTTCTTGTAACCCCTATGCTCACTGTCTTCCCAGCTGTTCAGAGAACTATCGGTTTTACGTGATGACTGAAAGAAATCACAGGTCTGGTAGACATGTCTCAGGCAGAGAATTGATACTGGGCAAGGAACCCTGGGAATAATAATGCAAATGGGTAAGTTTGTGAAACAGTAATAATTCTATTTCTAGATGTACTTTATTACCAGATTATTTATGGTGCCATTTACTAAATGGGGTGTAGGATTTCACGGGGCTTAACTGGGTTGAAGTTATCCAGACATCAGTAACCCACATCAAAACCAGGACGAATCAAGAAGTAATTCGAGTTTTCTGACGTTCTTGCCTCAACAATCTAGAATCTAGGGCACTGTTCTAAGATGATCCTCCTCCTTTTTGGTTCGAAAGATTTCTCTTTTCGTGATTTTTCTGGTCGAGAAGGCTGTCTGGCCAGGCTGCGGCTCTTGGCGAGCAGGTGATTACTGATCACTAGTGTTTTCTGGGCGAGACAGTTGCGCTAACCCCCTCCCCTTCCCCCGCCCCCTCCTCCTCCCAGTCTGGAAAGGTGCAGGATCCGCTAAACCGTGCATCGCACAGCGGCGGCCGGAGCAGACGCGGGATGGTAGCGCGTCCCCAGTAGAGCAAAGGGGGGCAGCGAGAGAGCCTGGGGAAGGTACGGGGGGGGTCGGGGTGCAGACACCGCCGGGAAAGATCAGAGGGTCCATTGGGCGGGGGAGGCCTCAGTGGCCGAGTTGCAGGTGTGGACGAGGCTGCCCCGGGCCCACCCTTTGCAGCCGAGGGGGCGGGGAGCCGGGCCCTCGGGGAGGGAGACTGCAGACGGGGCGCGATCCCCAGGCGCTCGCTCGTCCCCCTTTCTCAAGGACCCGGGGGACGGGGCCCTCGCCCGGGGGCCCGCCCTGCCGGCGCCAGCACCGCAGCGCCCGCGGCGGCCGCCACTGCGGCGCACTGCCGGCCGCCAGGGGGCGGGAGCTGCGCCGCGAACAATGGCCGTCCTCGGCCGCGGGCCGGCGAGAGGAGGAAGGGAGGGAGGGTCGGTGCCGGGCGCGCGGCGCAGGTCCGCGGGGGTTCGGGGGCGCGCGCGCGCGCGTGCCGGG